GTGTACAAAGTCTGAAGTGCTGCTAGAGTATCTAGCTAGAGGCAGTTTACAGAACAATGTATAACTGAGAACATTGTACCTGCACTTGCCAATATGCTTAACAAATCCTTTGCTACTGAATTACCTTTGTTAGGGTCAATAATGGAGTGGTGAATTAAGTTACTGCTCGCTATGAAGGTCTTGGTTTAGAATTATAAGAGTACTGGAAGTGAGAGGTGATTGTGGGCATGTTGTATGCTGTACTAAATAATTATAAAAAAAGAAAAATACTTGCAAACACTGGTGAAGGATTTTGGAACAAGAGGTATAAATAGAAAATGGTTGTGAATACAAAGAAAAGTATGGTGGTTGGCTCAGAGAAGATGGGAGTTAGAAAGTGAAATCCTGTACAGTTGAGCTGGAACAAGATAAAACTTATAAAAGTTGAATACCGTATTTGGATAGTATTTCAGCAAGGTAAGCAAAGATATCAAAATCAATTCTGAAAGCATGGAGGCAAACCACTGGAACTTTGAGGAGAGCAACAAAAACAATTCAAGCCATCCATAAAATAAGTAAGCCCTCTGACCAAAGTCAAATTTGATAAGATCTATCAACTTGGTATAAAGAATTTAAGAATGAAGCTTCATTACAAGATATCCAGTACAACCTTTGTTACTGTACAGAAACCATCTGCTTACAAACAAATGGAAAGATGGATGGACGGACAGCACTGTGACTATGTTCCTAACTCCCACTCCTACTCTTTCAGTTGGGGAAGTAAATTAATGTAAACACCCTGGTCTGGCAACAAGTTTGTGAAGAGTAAGTGTAAATAAAGAGGGTATAAATTTGTGTGAAGTAAATGTTGATAAAATAAAAATCCAAGAATAGTAAGTACCAGCAAATGGAGATACAGTACTCTACGAGATGATATGGTTTAGTGAGAGGAAACAGACACTGTCAACAGAAAGATAAAGTACTAATGGAGGGATAGAACATGGGATTTTGTAAGAGAGAAGGATGAATCACAAAGGTGCTAGAATTATAATGTTGTGAAGGATGTTCTGTGGCATTGGCCACCCTATTGTCCAATAATGAGTGACCTGTAAGCTACAGTATTTACCGTTATCCTACCTATTCATTTCATGCCATCATCTCCAATAATCAGCCTGGAATAGCATATGAAGAGTCTTCCCAAATTATTAGATAATTTATCATTTCCACTACTAGTGTCACAGACTCAATCTCAATCTTTAAAGCATTCGCTGGAGGATTCTAATTTGAGTTTGGTAATGACACACGTGAAGGAGTCAACAAATACTTGAACTAAGAAATAAAAATATATGACAAGAATGAGGGTTTTCACACCATGTATATATAGAAAACAAAATATATGCACCAAAGTACAATAAGACATGATATGAAAGAAAATTAAAGCTGGGGCTAGTGAGATAATATATATGTACAGCATGCCCTGATAATTTGCGGTCCTCGATTATTCGCAGATGACACCCTGGATGTACCAAGAATGTCTGCGGGTAGTTTTAAAGTTGTTGGCATTTTCTCGGCCGGGACAGGGAGCGCACAAGTTTTGTGGTATCCTGCAAGGTGTCTCTCTTGTCCCAAGAGGCTGGCCTATGCGCGCTGCCTCCACATCAGTCCAGGATAAACATTTGTCCGCCTCGCGAGTGTGATACTCTGCTCTCTTAACAACTGTGTTCCTTGTACTTGTGATGGCTCCAAAATGCCCTCAACCACCTTCATCCAGCATCAGGAAGGTGCCCAAACAAGTGAAGAGAGATAAGGGCATGTATTTCTCCGATATGTATGCCTGGCTACACCTGGCAATGGGAGCGGGTAAGGGGAGTGAGTGATTGCTAGTTAGCACATCGTCTGCAGTTGTAACTCTCCTCACTCCCTGCCATATATCACTGGATTTACTGTTATTATTAGTGTTTACTGATAGAATGGTGTTTAATAGTGATTAATCATGGCATTGTAATTAGGTTAGCTCATCGTTGTAACCACCAAGCTACTGGGCCAAGCTTTGAGGTGTTATGTTTTTTCAACTCGTATTTTCGGGTAGATGTAGCATGTAACTTTCTTCATTTATTTTTACTGTTACATGCACACACCATCCTAAATACATATTGTGAAAAAAGTAAAAGAAATAATTTTCCCAAGGGCAAACATGTAACGGGAGGAGCGCCGAGTGTAGCTAGTGGGGAGCGTTGCTGGGAAATCAGCGTCCCAGCTGAACTTCGTTACTATGGTGGAGCTGGGAGTGTACGAATGCAAATGGCGATTGTATTAAACTTTCGTTTGGCTTTTATTTACTGGTTTGGCAATAGAATTTTTTGTTGTAACTTATTTATTGGTATTATTTTTGTTTATTCCTCACATTTCCCGGTACTGTACTGTATATAATATTTTAAGAAAACTATGGCTGTGAGGTGTTATGGTAGTTTATAAACTTGTATTTTCAGGTAGATATACAGGTACATAACTTTCTTCATTTATTTTTACTCAGTTACATGAACACATCATCCTATATCCATATTATGAAAAAAGTACAGTACGTATTACACCACAATTACCGACATCCTTCATGTTGGGTTGGTTAGATGGCTATGAAAAAAATATTGTAAGTTTGATCTACATATCAATCCAGCTGGTGCTCAGATGCCATTCGTTTTAGAGACAGTAATTTTTACGAGGAAAATATTTCTGTACGGGCAACCCAACCAATCCATCTTTAATAACAAAGCATGGACTTGAGGGTAGACTCTCACTTTTTCCTACATTTCAATACATTTTGTTGTCTTGTTTCTGATTATTTGTGAGAGGATTTTTCTATTATTATTTATTTGTAGGTTTTTTGTTTTTGTTTTTTGTGTCTCAACACACACACACACACACACATATACATTACAGATTAAAGAAATAATTATCCTAAGGGCAAACACATAAAGGAAATAGAAGTAACCCCCTAGTAGGCAAATGATATTATGCAGTTTCAGGCAATTACCCCTTTAGACACAACCCCCAAAATTTTAAGGGCATTATATATATATATATATATATATATATATATATATATATATATATATATATATATATATATATATATATATATATATATATATATATGTATGTATGTATATGTATGTATGTATGTATGTATATGTATGTATATATATATATATTTCTGGAGAACACAGTGGACTTAAAGAATGTGTCACAGACTATTAAGTGATGCAATAGTGTGGATATATTAGTGTTATCAGCAGTATAGACCAAATGACTGAAAAAAGAAAACATCATTCAACATACACAACCATTCCAATTATATATACTAATGGAATTGAATTTCTCACATTAACTGTTATAATAACTCAACAACAGGCACAAGGCAAACATTAGGAACATTTTCTAATATATACACAAATATATCATCGTTTGGCTTCCTGGATACCTTATCCATATTATCAACAAAATTATTAGAAAAAAAACATGCCAGCACAAGAATTTCTACATAAAAATATCTCACAAATGGTAAAAAAATAAATAAAATAAAATAAAAATTTAATAAATAAACCGAATCCTCAATATCTCTTTGACACCCTGTTCACTAAAATTTGCCCGCCCTAAGTAGTGGCAGTAGTGACCTTATACAAAGCCTTCACAAACACTTCAGCCATCTTAAATATCAGAGAGCCTTCATATGCCTGAAATAGTAGGTGAAATACAGTATTCTACATGGTAGTTTGTCTGTAACATACTTGACGGAGTCACCACTTGCTTGCACCGAGATATAAGAACATGGACCTAACTGTGCTCAGATCAATACAACTTTAAATGACATTAAAATATTTTACATCCAAATATCAGACAACAGTTCATATACCATAACATAAATCATCCTATGGAGCAACAGCAACCAAATTTAAAAGCCAAATCAGGAGTTAGTCTTTTTTTTTTTTCCATAAGTTAAAAAGTTGTCAATTATCAGGTCAATTAAAAATATATAAAAATAGAAAGAAATGCAATAATTAATCTCAATATCATGGTAACATCTAATTTACATATACTGTACATGTGCAAATTTTATGACTCTTTTTATATCGTGTTTAGCACAATATAAAAGACAAAATTGAATGATCTTCTAATCCTCGAAATATACAGTAAAGTACAACAAGGAAAACTATTTCTTTTCTTATATTGAATCCAAAGATAATATTTTACAGAATTAGTGTGATAACTGAATCTGATAACTACAAAGTGGGATCCCTCTGATAATTTCCCGACATGGTAGCCACTGTTTTTAAATAATTCACGACTGTCCAAAGTATTGTAATGACAAACCTAAGTACGTATCCATATTCCAAAGAGTCTGATGTACTGTTTATTCTCTTAAGAAAAAATAGAGGGAGTAGGTATTCCTGTAGAGTAATGATAGACTGGAAGGAAGAAGTGATGGAGGGGAAACATGCAGAGATGTGCAATGACTATGTTTGGGAGAAAGTCGCCATATCCCATCCTAGAGTAATGTAGCGAACACCATACTGTACTGAGCACAATCAGCCAGACAGCGTATAAATGAAATCATTCTCATGTTGTACTTGGAGTGTAATAATGATATTCATTAAATAAATAAATATTTTCATTATGCTGACTTTTACATGACCCTCTTTTAAATATTGTATCTGGACCATTAAGTTTACGACAAGCCAAAATGAGTGAATGGTATGTATGTCGCTGGTACCAGTTACATGTTTAATGATTTAATTTTCTTTTTCTCACTCCTGTCAGAGTGAAAAATATACAAGAGGGAAAAATATGATGAAAGATGGGTCCTAAGTCTAGCAGAGGTATATTATCAGTCATCCCACTTGTACAGTTGTCACAGTATTGAAAACATTCCACTTTGTCTGTCTATTACACTGTACTGGGTTTTTTAATATTCACTTATTAACATAGCAATTAGAAACCAAGTTACTCTTGTCACTTCACTCGTGTTAAAATTTTCTAAAACAATAAAAATCAAACAGTTGATATTTGTTTTTTAAATTCAATAAAATCTGAATTTTGAAACTGCCTATTGATAAAAACTAACCAGGAACAATTATTTTAACAATATGCATAAATGAATAAAAATATACATATTCTATAATGTAAAACAGTATAAACCAATAAATCAACAAATAATTAGGTAAGAAACTGATTGCTATACTGTACATATACTGTACACTCCAAACACAACAATGGTCAGAAGATGCATCACAAGAGTAGCATGACAATATGTAATGAAGTGTTCAGTTTACATACAATTCAATGACCAACATGACCTTGTCAACAGCATTACCCCAGCATTTCTTGCTATAATTATGGATCATTGTCTGTCGCAGTTTATATGTTTCAGTAAATGCTTTTGTATTTAAATGGAATACATAATCTGCAACAAAATACAGTATTCATAACCATGCATGAAAATAAAAATTTTGGTAAAAACCAAGTCCCCTTTTAAGTAAACACAAAATAAACTGAGAATATGTAGACAAGAAGGAAAGTCCCAACAAAAATATGTTTCTTCCTCCAAACATTTCCATTTAAAGACCAATGGCCTAAACAGTCTTATGAAAGATCTAATCCAAAGACGATACTCACACTGAATCAGAGACCTTAGTCCAGTGATAAAAATATCTACCGGGACTAGTGGTTCCCATACTGGGAGAAACTAATACTGTATATTGACATTCTTTTTTCTTTATTAAGAAACTTTCAATAAAATTGTGTAAAATAATGACTTAGTTGAGTTTGAAAGTGATATAAATATGAGTACAGCTTGTAAAATCTATTAAAAGTTAATTAATTTATTTTAAAAAATGAGGAGGGGCAGGAGGATTTGATAAAAAGCAACAGGGGGGGCTTTGTGTGAAAAACTTTGGGAACCACTGTAACTAAGCAATTTTACCTATTGGTTTGGCCATTACCCAAGTGAATCAATGGTCACTTGTCTGTACAACAAAATAAAAGTGTAGGAGAGAATAAGGGAATGTATACGTTTGTGTGAGGAGATCTATTCATAGTTTAATCCATACCCTACCACTTTCTATACTTCCCTTGCACCACTCTCCTATACCATTCCCCTGCTTTCTAGAGGTTTCACCATCCTTTGATCCACCCAACACAAGAGTGGGAGAGGAGAGTAAAGATAACAAATATATCAATGAAGGATAAATGTTACCTAACCAAATGTACATAAAGGTGAGAGTAATACAAAAAAAACCCAAAAAGTGAAAGACCCAAAAAGTGAAAGATGTAAGACAAATAAAAGAAATCATTGAAATAAGAAATAGTTAGTAATGTGGGATACAGTGGAGTTATCAATGAGAGATAGTGTGAAGTCTGACAGTAATAAGTCAGGGGTAGTGTTAAGTTAAAGAATCTGTAGCAGACAATAAGGAGCCCCATGGCACCTAAAAACATATTCATACAGTATATATCAACGGACTGTACAACTGAGAACCAACAGACCCATACTGTAGCTAACATAGTTCAAGGTTCAATCTAAGTACAGTAATGACATGTAACAATACCCACAGTCTCTAGGTTTGTTAATATTAGGTGTCTTGAGTTAATACCTAACAAGAGCCACAGGAATATGGCTAACAGTGGCATCACACTAGCACTGTTGCATCACTTTCTTGCATCACTTTTTCTAAGGATTGTCATTTTTCTGAGTGCCCTCTCACAAATGCATCTAGAACCAGCGTGCATCACTCCTCGTTTGTCAACTATAAACCCAGGTGCTCTTAATGTAAATAAACATCTCATAAGATGTCACAAGAAGGAAGAGCGAAAACGCCAAAATTACGTTTTGAGTAAACTGTGTTTAAAGTTAAGAAATGCATAATTAACTCAAATAACACTCAATTTTAATCATTATGGTGTTATTAATTATGGTTTGAAAGAAACCTTGGTTGTCTGTAGAAATATTATGCAATGCGCTGACTTTTTAATTTTTTTTTTACAATTACAGATAATTATAATTACCCACACTAGTTATCATTAATTTATACACGGAAAAAGGTAATGAAAATGATACCACGAGTATTTCACATAACAGTATACAAAAAGGTATTGCTGCCACTGATTGTGTGAAATTAGTTTACCTGTATATAAACCTTAGAAAATAGGAGAAATAATGGAGTGGAAAATGGTGTGTCAACAACACGTGGGTGAAGCACTAGACTGCATGTGCTAGCATGATGCTCATTAGCTGAAAGTGGCAGGTGGATGGTAGCTGGGAGGTGATTGGCTGTAGTGCTCGCCCTTTCTACTCGGTAAGCTAGACCTGATATTACACCACGCTTAGGAATTGCGCATCAATTTTGTCCCTTATACTACCTGGGATGAAGGTCGATTTTGACATGGCTCACCCCACCACCTCACTTTACAGGTTTCAACCTGCGAGGGGAGAGAGAAAACGGAAAATTGACAAGGTGGTGAGTTTGCCCTTCCTTCTCGTGACGCCTTATATCAGATGTACTGTATTTAGGAATACAGTACAGGGCATGAACATAAAATAAATGTAAAGTTAAGCATTTTATTAAAAATGTGATAGTATTACTTTTCTGATGAAATTTAGATACCAGTATTTTACATGGCTCAATAATCTATCTTGTATAACTATCCTCATTACTGAGTATAGATTTTGACTTGGCCATGGAAACTGGTCAAGCCAGTCAAGTAGAAACGATATATTTCGTCTGAGCGATATGCTCTGGTAAAAAATACGGAAAGTCGGAGAGTTGAAGCAAAAAGCGTTACTGTAAAGCCATCTTAAATTCCAGTAATTATTTCAACTAGTAACACACCTACATATTTATCTCGAGCAAGGATCTGCTACAAGTTATTGAATGGAAACCAAATCTGACACGGACGGTCAGACATTACTGCTATATCTCCTAAACTTTTAGTCAAGGAGATGAAAAGTAATTTCCTATAACATAGCTTTTTCTAGATCAACACACCCATCTACTTCTTTTATACATTTACTCTATAAAGCATCTCTTTAACTTATAACCCACTGCCATTCAGCAGTATCATCATCATTTTATTGCCATTTTCCACCTGTACATTGGTTAGCTTTTCCATTCCCAATTTAATCTGTGAAAATCTCTCAGGAAACTACAATAAACCCAATCATCTACAACTAACATCAATTGACTCAAGGTAAATCAACTTTCAAAAATCAATTCCAAAAGTTCTCGTAACATCCAATCTTCAATACCTGTATGTGTATTCTCCAACACTCAAGTTTTTTAACAATATAAATCAGGTAAGGCCATGCCAGTTTAATCAACCAGTCTTAATCATACCTTCAGTCTTACAATTTTGTCATTATTTAATTACTTTACTTTTGAAAAATCTGAAAGTTAATCTGCAAAATAAAAGAAAACAGCATGTAAGACTATGGGTGGGTGATGCATACTGGAGTGATTGAGTAACTCACTTAAAATTGGGCAATAGTAGAGCACAAATTTGTTATTTGAACAAGTACAACTTAGATTTGGGTAATATTCTTGTTTATGTAAGAAGGTTGTGGACCTTAAAGATCAATTAAAGTAAGAAAAGAAAAAATAAATGAATGTATATACAGTAACTAAATGATGAGAAAATATGGGGCTGATTATGTAACAACACAAATGTTTACAGATAGAGAGAGATGTTAACAGACATACAGAGATGTTAACAAATATACAGAGATGTTAACAAACATAAAGAGATGTTAACAAACATAAAGAGATGTTAACAGATATACAGAGATGTTAACAAACATAAAGAGATGTTAACAGACATACAAAGATGCTAACATACATACAAAGGTTTTCACTGACACACTGCCTCCCCTAACATGCTCAGCATTTTTTCCCTAACTCTTTCAAGTCTTTTCTTCTTTAATGCAGAGTGGTTGGAAGGATAAATATATACTACACTGTACAGTATACACACATTTTCCCTTCATCTGTAGCAATTCATTCATTCTTGCTATTATTAAAGATGCATTCTGCTAGTCACAAAAAGCTATAAATATGAGAGTAAAGGTTAAGAGAGATGAAATGCAGAAGAATGAAATAAAGACATACTGTACACAGAAAAAAGGGATACTGTATTAGAAAGGGTGACAGAACGATGACTTTATAAGACATGTGATTAGTTCAGTGATTAAGACTATCATTCATCAATCTCTAGATGCTAAACAGGGAAGCACTATAAGAAATGTATATAGGTAGCAAAAACATATACGCCAGAAATAGCCCTGTTTAGGATGTGGAGTTCATGAACTTTTGAGAGAAAAAAGTTTTATGACAGCAAACACACAAGAGAGGTGTGTCAATACTTTGTTAGCTGACCCAGTTTAAAAAGTAGAATCCAAGACATTAAATGCAATGAAGTAGTAATACTTTCTGTGGGGTGTTGAACTTCATTCGATTGATAAAATAAAAAGTGATTTATATGATTATAAAAAAAAATAGTTCCGGTAATACAACAACACAGTTTAAGGGTTCTACATACTGTACTACCATAGAAGTGTTAAATCACCCTCCCCTCCCAGCCTTTAAGTTACAATTTGTAACATCCAGGCTACATAAAATACTGATCCTCTAAAGGCCTGAACCCCAAGGACAAAAGTTTGCTAATGGACAAACTAATGAAAAAAATAAAAATAAAAATCATCTATTCACTTCCAACAAAAACTACTTCAGTGTGGCTAAATCGTGTACGGTATTTACAAATTACCTACTAAAGTAAGAAAACTGTAGGGGCCACCATCAGGAATTGTGCCCCTAATAAAATTTCCTAAAGCACAGTTCTCTCAACACATATCAGTAACTGATATTAAAGCACCTGGATAAATTTCACATGAACTATATGGAAATACTGTACACAGCATCAAGATCATTTGTTATTAGTGAAGAGAAGGAAACATATATCTGAGGTGTGATGATCTGACTTAGTGTTACCTGAATTACATCATGTACTTATGTGATGACTGCAAATTATCAGACTCTTGCAACAACAAAAACATAAAGTAGGAACCTTGAAGCATGATTGATAATTAATATAAAAATAAAGTATCATTTCAAACTGATCAAAGATTTGAATCAAATTGAAAAGACAGAAAGAAGCACATCTACTTTTTATGATAGATCTGGTGAGTAACTTAGGTTGGGCAGGTATGGCTTAGTTATACTGTTAGTTCTCTCCAGTTGTATAATTTATAATCAATTATTAACTTGAACAACTTCCATTTTCATCAATGTTTGATATCTACTGTACAATGGCTTAAAAAAAGTTTTACAAGACAAAGAACATTATGGTCAGAGAAAGTGGATCTGCTGAGGTAATTTTCTTGAACAAGGCATGATATCTGTTTTACAACCAATTTTGAACAAAGTACATTATAAATTTTTTTAAAGATACCAATTTAATTATTACAGCCAATTTTGAAACATTAAGAAAAATAAAAAAATACCAATTCCAACTATATATATATATATATATATATATATATATATATATATATATATATATATATATATATATATATATATATATATATATATATATATATATATATATATATATATATATATATATATATATATATATATATATATATATATATATATATATATATATATATATATATAATGTTAACACATGACACCAAATCCTTAACCCCCTCCAAAAGTTACCATGCAACCTACAATTATTTACTCATATACAGCATTGTGAGTCTGGCGATTTGTTCAGATGCAACAATAAAATGATGCTTATTATCCTAAAAAACATATACCTAATCAGAATCTTTTAAAAACAAGACTGATATATCTCACTATCACATATTCTTTATATATAGTACTACAGTATATATATATAAATATATAAAATTTGAATTAAATCAATGGGAAGTAATAGAATATAAGCACAGTAGTATAAATTATATATACTACTGTACTGTATTACTAAAGAGCAAACCACAAATTAAATATCTGCAAAAGCAACTGTGTAACAGAAATCAGGGTGCAACATAGTTAATGTAAAGGAAAATAGAAGAAATGAATAAACAGAATAATGGAAAATGCCAATGCCAGGTGGGATTATGTGGTAACATTGGAAAAGACAGAAAACTCTGAATGGGTGAGATGAGGTCATTCAGAAGACAACACCTAACTTTTTAAATACATAGAACTTAATTCACCAGCCCACAAACTAACATCATATAAAAAATGACGACAGATCACAACTGATTCTGAAATATCCCTTCCCTACACATCTTTAAATCTTGTTTTTCATATGACAAGAAAGATAATTTATTATTATACTGTATTTGTTCAGTGGATTTTTTCCCCTAGCTTAATCTGCATGTCACACAAGCTTTACATGTTTGGGGAGTCATATACCAATATCAATCACCAGAATTTATGATGGTTGGGAGATGTCAAACCTTACAGATAAAATATGATGAGAAATAAGAAATCTTTAAGAATTTATGCTTTCTAATAGTCTCGGATGTTGATAAGAGGTATTCATTAAAAACAGAGGATTAAAGCATAATTTCCATTTTTATTTGCCGAGGAAGTGAAAAGTGATCTACAAGACACCTAGATTATAACACCTGCTATAAGAGCCAGCTTAGCTTGGAGAATCTGTCATGTTCTAACAGTAGTCTACACTGTCCATTCCAACAATGTGTAATTGCTAAAAGTTTTTCCTCATTGCTTCAACTTCTATCTCAGTGGTTGCTTGACATAATTGAGGCCTCAGGTTCATCAGATCAAAACCTTAAGCAAGGTTAACTCTAATCATAAAGCAACAACAACGAAGTGAAACTTTTGAAGTTCCTGCCAGTTTAGAATCCCACTGAGACTGAAAGAGGAAAACCAGGTTCCTTGTGTCTTCAGTCTCAGTTTAAAATGGAGTTTCATTTTTCAATCCTCCATTTAGAGCCTAAGGGTCATCAATGAGTGGCTTACAAGATACAAAACCAGCACAAAATGATTTTGAGATAAACTGTCTAGTAACCCTGTAGACAGCACACAAGCAGGAAACACTTGCCTTGAGGAACTGTGGACTAAATGATGCAATGGTCAGGAAGTGAGCCCTGGTCAACTGTACTGAAATAGGCTGTGGTCAACATTAAATACTCATCACTATTAGTACCAAACAGGCCAATCTGAATTCCACTGATATTTCTTCAATTGAAGGTTTGAAAGAAAAAGTGGATTCCTTCTCTACAGTTTAAGAGGTACTGTACCTCTTAAGAGACTAAAACCATAATGTGAAGTGCTTGAGCAGAATGAGGATATATCTCAAAAGATTCAGACTAATCACTGAGTTCATAAAAGAGATGTATATGAATTGTATTAATGAGCAAGCCAGTCTTGATTTGTCATCAAGGCTCAACAAATCTTATACAGTATTGTGAGAGCACCTCCTTAAGACAATTAAGAAAAGTGCTTTCATTTGCTGTCCTTTAAGCACGGAGAATGGGAACATTTATGTCCAAGCACAGTGTAATTTCTCGAGAAAATTTTAAGTCTGTGTTTTAAATCAATTCAAGTTAATCAAATTAAAATTATATTCCTTCCTGGTGATAATGAAGGAAACTTCTTCAGATATGATTCACAACCGAAGACAGGAATTCATCATGGCGGTACATATACAAGTGCCAAAGGCACAAAGTTCTACAGCCAGTCTACAAGGGTGGCAAACTCTCAGTACAGTACTGCACAAGTTATGTGAATAACTCATTAGTATGAAATGGGGGGGGGGAGGGGGGGGTTAAATACATAATTGAATAAAATTGTGCAAATTATAAGACAAAAATTTCATGCAAGCAAGTTTTTCTTGCAAATACCATTTAGTTCACATTAAAAGAAATTTTCATCCTGACAGAGTCCCATAACTCATCACTCAAACGACTGCTTCAATGCTTAGGTCAACTCAACCGAGTGTGTTTCATGTAGCACTGACATTGGCCACTGACACTCAAGTCCGCTATAATTTCCACCCTCAGGTATGCTAATTTTTAGTGTAACAAAGGACAAGGACCAGGCATTTCCATAAGAGGAAAATGACCAAAGTTAGTGAGAAAGACTATTTACTGTTCAAAGAGACGGTTGTGGGCGCATGAAAACAAACCATGAAAGTAAGATCAAGTCAGTTACCAAGTCAAGTCCGACTCCTGTATAACCAATACCAGTTACTGATCATTTGATGCTCCCACTGTTATCAGTGATGAAGTCTCCCAGAACTAATTTCTAGGAGTTAAAAAAAACAAAACAAAAAAACATAGGAAGTGTATAAAAATATAAAAATATTCCCAAATGAAAGAATTTTTTTTTCATATAGTAAATTTTATATGCAGGACTTAATGATACCTAAAATGTAAGTGCAGTACTGTACTGTATACAAGTACAGTACACAAGTTTGGTATGGGCATGATGATCAATATTGTTTGTTCCACTGGTGCAGGGGGCAGAGCCTTTATACCATAATTCACCTTCCAATGACAAGTGAGAGGCTGAGCTAATGTGCATATAAAATCTGACAGGTCCATAGCAAAAGGACAATTTGTTCCCCAATTACATCATATGAAAAAAAAGAAAAAGAAAAAAAAAGTGGATTAATACTTATTCCTCCAAGGATGATCCACTCGAAGAATATACCTGTATGTATATAATGTAACCGTAAAGAGGGGGGCTGTAGACAATTTGACTGGCAGTAAGGAACTGTTAATGTTTCGAATAAGGGTCCCTAATTATAGTCATTGTTAACTCAGGATAAGGGTACTGAAGGTTCCAATCCAATTAAGCTAAGAATTTGAAGCACTGATTTGATACCAGTTTTGCTGGACAGGGAACTGTTATACACCAATTAAACATTGGTCAACAGGACAGTATAACCTATCACTATAAGTGACAGCCCCCAGGCCATGGCAAGCTCTAGTAGTGGAGGCAATTTGTACATCACTATCTAATGACCCACAGGCTATAAAACCCAAAGGCTTAGTCGAGTTTATATTAAAACGAAGTTAGGAAAATCACATATGTAGGTATTACAAAACTTAATATAAAACATGCACTAGACTAAAGGTGAACAAATGAAACTGAGTAAATCAAAGTTTCTTAATGATAACAAAAAGAGAAAGTAAAAAATTTCCCACATGGACGTGACATAAGATCATTGAAGGCAACCATCGCTAGGTGGGTGGAAAAAGATGGCAGAGAGTTGGGGAAGGAGGGAAGATGTTAATGATGCTGAAGTGAGAGGAGTGAGGTCAGAGGCATTTGAGAAGAAAGGGTTCAGCTAAAGGTGATGGGGAAAGAGGGATTACATCAGTGTGGATTAATGTGAAGGGGATGGAGGGGAGGGGTGAGGTGAGAGTCTTGATAAGATGTGTTGGGGGAGGGGAGAGAGAGGGAGGTCAGGTCGCAGGTGCTAAGAGAGAGAGGGATGAGATCAAAAGTGTTGGAAGAGGAGGTGATGGGAGGAATGGGAAGGAGTTAGGGAGTCATATCATCCAAGATTCTGACTAAGTGTTTGTAAGACAACCGAAACTCTGGTACATCTAAAGAAATTGCTTTCAAGTAAGATTATGCTAAATGTTTCTCTTACAGGATGAAGTTTCTACACTGAAGATGACAACTATCAAGATTCATCCTATGACAGCTACTTCTAGACTGACAGAGTAACTACAGCAGCTACTAGGAGAGATGCTTCCTGCTTACATCTGTGAATCATAAGCTCAAGCTAACCTGGCAAAGCTCTTGTAAGCAGCAGACATTGGGTTGATACAGAGAGGAACACGGTCGCGTGCTAGGTGGCTCATGATGAACTTGTGCAGTCGATCTTTCACCTGAGACATTGATCGCAACTGTAAAAAAAAAGAAAACTATTGCAGTCATGAAAATTTACACCAACAAAAAACTACAGTAAAATCAGTCACGAAGTGTTTTATGAATTACAAACAAAAAATATTATCTGAAACACTGTAAATCCAGTACAGTACTGTATATCTTCCGATCATTAGAGTAAATAAGATGATTAACACTAGCCAACCAAATGTTTTCACATAAATGTATATTTTCTTACAAAGGAGGTATGGAGAGTGTGAATTAATGGCATGCACATAATGTACTAAGTTGACAATTTCATTTATCATTACACTGACAATTTCACTTATCATAATACTGTACATGTTGGGGCTCCTCGTTATAAGTGATTAATAGGGACCAGAAAAAAGCCACTGATAATGAAACCACTTATAAAGGGAAATTAATTCCCATAAGAATTAATAAGAATAGGGTCTAATCGGGATCATCACATTGAAAGTGACACTCTTAAAGTTTAATTTTATATCATTTAACATTTACATATATATACCTTAGAAACATTTGCTTACACATTATTTTATGAAATTATTTAACTGTAACCTATTTAAGGTACTTATAAGTCATTTGGGGTCAGTGAGTTGATGCGGCGCAAGCTACCTAACCACGCACTCGCACGCTCATTTCAGTCAAAGTCAAAATGGTTCATTGAGACATGCTCACTATTTTTCTTACGACATATAACTTCTAATTTCACGTCCATCTCGTAGTTACTGCACTTCGTTTTAGCCACTACACCACCTTGCTTCGGTTTGGAACTGATGGGACCTACCCAAAGGCACCACAAAGTATATAGTCCTTGGAGCACTTCAAAACAATGCTTGTAGACATGGGTGAATGGTCTGAGCATGCATAGCGCAGGTGAGAAGGATAAACTGTAAGATACTGGGCGGTGGGTGAGAATTTTAACCACTCAACGCTTGTACTTCCGATGATCTACGGATTTCAGCCTTAGAATCCTCTTAACTTCAGGGACTTTTTACATGTAGTTCCACAATTATTTGACCACTTAAATGTGAAACCACTTATACTGTGGACCCCCTGTACTGTACTGCATATGTACTGACTACTGGCCCCTTGTGAAGAAGACCAAATTAACTATTCTTTGGCCTCCATGTGGAAGTTATGACTGGAATATAAAGTAAAACTGATGTATAAAAATTATACAACACTTACTGCTAGAGATATACACACAATCTTATAATTTTTGCTCATATTTCTAGGTGGGAGAATACCAGGTAAAAAAAAAAGTTGAAAAATGATGAAAATAAAAGAAATATTCCACAAACCTCATTTTCCCAAGTGTCATCAAATGCATGTGCTGCTATTGGCTCAAAATCATGGGTGTATTGTCGTCCGCCACAAGAGGTGGAGGCACAGCACGTACACATACATGAGTGATACCGAAGCCGACCTTCATCCAGATATGGGTGTGTGAGCGCTTCAGTCACTGTCAAACGTTTATCCTGAGGAAAAGATTCACCTCATTAATATATGTTATAAGTAAAAAATATTTGCTTAAAAATGTGTTGAATATATAACTACAATATACAGCTACATGGGGATCCCTCCAGGAGGACACACAGCTGGTAGCATTACAGTATATACTAACCAAATATTTTTCACATCTGTAATGAAAATGTCGCTACAGTATCGACATAACCAACTCTATTTGGCAAAACAATATAAAAGATAATAAATTTACTTTTTTTAAGCATACTTGTACAAGCCTTTTCCTGCTATGATGCAGGGTGGCTGAATGACAAAGTGCTGATCTCTTGATTCTTAACATTCAGCAGCTAGTGGATTACCCCATCCCCTTCGCAGGATGTTAGTCCAGCATCAACAAGTACAGTACACCCAACTGTGTACAGTACTCATTTTATTACACAAGGAATAATGCACTTGGAGGGAACCCAATCCTCTACTCCAGTTGGTAATTAAACGCATGACCATTTGCTTGCAAGGCGAGTCCATTTATCAGCAAGGAAGAGATAATGGTTATGTAAAATTCCACAAAATGGTTATATTTCCCAGCCCCTAAATACAACATACCTAACTGTAGGTCATTAAAATATCAAATACAGAAGAAGCAAACAGCAAAAAAACACACTCGACCACATAAAAAAAAAAACGTTCATTTGTGCATTTACTAATCATCTTACAAATTTATATCTATTTACCAGTTATCTTACTTATACAGTAAATGGAAAATTAATGCTTTTCACCCAAACTTCTTACACTCTTAAAGGTTTGAGACTACTGTACTGCACTTCACATGTATCATATCCATACAAAAACAATATTTTTTGGCATGTGTCTAAAGTACCGTACTGATGTTCAATCTCTGGGATTTGAAGGTGCTAAACTTTCAATAATCAACATCAGTGACTTAGGCTGTGTTTGTCATTTTTATCAATGATGATCAAATCCATAAAATTCATGATCAATATGCTGACACGATTCACTGCTCAATTTCCAAACTTATAAATAAATTGACAATATTACTTTCCTATTTAAATCGCCTACAATATCATTTACAGTACAACCTCAAGAAATCAAGCTCCTGCTATTTCAGAGGTCTGGAAGTCTGGAAAATTCTCAGGAATTCGGAAGGAGCAGGGGTTTATGAGGTGTGTGGGAACAGTTCACATACTCATTTGCTACTCGCATTCGATTTTCCATTAAACGGCAAGCGGAAAATAAATACAGTACAATAAGGCCGGATAATTCTCGGATTTTTTTTTCATGGTCCTCTATTATTCGGGGGGACACCCTGGATGTACCCAAGAATGTCTGCGGGTAGTTTTAAAGTTCCCGGCATATTTGCAGCCATAACAGGGAGCCATTCGTTCTATGTGTGTGTTTGTGTGTGTAGACACACAAAACACATACAAATAAATAATACACTGTAATGGGAAAATCCTCTCACAAATAATCAAAAACAAATGTATTAAAAATGTTGAGTCTACCCTCAAGTCTACTCTGTGCTTTGTTATTAATAAAGCATGGAGTTGACTTGAGGGTACACTCAACATTTTTAATAAATTTGTTTTTTTTATTATTTGTGAGAGGATTTTACCATATTATTTATTTGTATGTGTTTTGTGTGTGCGAGTCTATATACACACACACACACACACACACGTATATACAATGCAGGATAATGAAATAATTGTACTAAGGGCAAACACATAAAGGGAATACAGGTACAGTATACATTTCTTTGTACACAGGTAAAAATGTAACAACCCCCCCCTCTCCCCCCGTCAGCAAATGTGATTCACGGTTTTGGCAATTCATTCCCATTTTGAGAACCTAACCCCTGCAAATTTGAAGGGCATGCTGTATATGCAAATAGAAATGCTGCTAAAAGGTTACAAATGAGTTTCCTAAGTAAGGGAAAGATAAAGGATGTGGGTAGTCAAATTTATGGTGCAAACAACACTGATGTTTTGAGAAGTCTTTGCCTCATAACACAAGGTGACATATGGCAACAAAGAATAAGGGAAGGTTTACTCTTCTAATGTTTGTAAATGCTACTTAAGATTGGATAAAATACTAAGCCTTGTGCTCTGAAGGGTATGAAAATTATGGCTGTTCTTTAAAATGCTAATAAATGAGGATGGATCACCCAGGAAATAACCATTGACTGTATTACCCACAATTTTGTACCCGATGTTCATATACACTGCTGTAAGGACTGTAAAACTGTTCTTTTAGATAAATGCTTACCCCACCCATCTACAAGATAGCTGGATGCCAACAACTGGACACTACTAAATTTTTGTGTTGTATCATACTGTATATATATACTGTATACTAAATACAGGTAGTTTAAAGTTTTCATTTAGAAATCTGGAAAAATTTTGATCCTGAGCCTTCTATATTTTGAGGTTGTACAGTGCAGTACTGTACCTACTTCAGAGACACTTATTTACAAGAACCTGAAGCTAAATTTCATTCATGCAATCTCAATTTGCACTTTATGGTACTAGTTGTAGTTAGCCAAAAGGCAATACAGTATTGCAAAATCAAATGACATGATAAACATAACAATAGCTAATGGTTTTAATATCCTGGCTAAAACCCAGTACAGTTATACAGTATGCCAAGGTACTGTACTGTACTGTATTGTACTGTACTGTACTGTAATGTAATGTACTGTACTGTACTTAATTAGCCTATTATAATACAGTGGAATGAAAAAGTAAAGTAATATTTAATAAGAAAACAAAATACATTACAGTTATGTAATCAAACATTATTTATTGTTATTGTACAGTATATTACTTATGGATCACCACTACATTTTCCCCTAAATATATGACCTATTAAAATTATATTCTTTATGGAATATTTCGATGCAATTACAGAATTAATCAATGGAAATCTAAGACATGAATGAATATTTAATTACTTTCCTTAACCAATCCACATAATTCAACAAAATATACATCATTACTTACTGGATCAAAGGCAAGCATCTGTGTGAGTAAGTGGACGGCCTCGTGGGTAGCATGATTAGACAATGTGTAGAGTGCAGGAAGTGCTGGTGGTTTAGATGGTCGCCGGAGCATGTGTGTTACTGCACCCTCACACGCATATTTCATATCTTCTAAATTTGGCGTTCCTAAGAGGTCTGTTATTCGCTCAAGCTAGAAAGAAATAACATAATTTTTATAATCTGTAATGTTTGCTCTCCTTCGTGTACGAATACGTAATTACAGTACCATAACTGTATATCACTCGTCATATATTTTTTCTGTTTCATTATATATATACAGCACTGTACTACCACATAAGAGGTAATAATGGTTCTTACACAGGATTTAGTAATCAACCCAGAACTCTTAATATGTAATGTATTTCCAAAGTCCATATTACCCTTCAAAAACATTTTTTTTTATCCACACCCCCAATCATAATTTTTTTTTCATGTACAGATACAGTTTATATATATATATATATATATATATATATATATATATATATATATATATATATATATATATATATATATATATATATATATATATATATATATATATATATATATACACTGTATATACAAGTACTGTACCTTTATTTAGTTATACAGTTCAGCTTATTATTTCATTATCCCATTATATGGTATGCTTATACAGGTAGTACTGCACTATATATGTTTCTCCACTTTTCTGTGCAAGAGTATAATTCCTGTGGCATGTACAGTACTACAGTATCAACCACATCAGTCAACTTAAACCAATAAACCTCACTAACCTGCTGTACGGGACTTTGTGCCTGGAAGAGTATACGCCGACCCAGAAGCTCTCCAAAAATGCACCCTACTGACCAAACATCGACGGCTTGTGAGTAGTGGCGAGCACCCATGAGCAACTCTGGAGCTCTGTAGTACTGTGTGACCACCTCCTGTGTCATGTGTTTGGTCTCGTCTGGCTCCTCTACTCGGGCTAGACCAAAATCACAGATCTGAAGCAAAATAGATTAAATGGAACTATGTACAGTGCGATCCTTACTGGTATAATTCTCATCTTTTAATATGACTCACCCAATCCTGATCCCTTAATATGATTCACCTAATACTGACCTCTCAATGACTCACCCAATCCTGATCCCTTAATATGATTCACCCAATACTGACCTCTCAATGACTCACCCAATCCTGATCCCTTAATATGATTCACCTAATACTGACCTCTCAATGACTCACCCAATCCTGATCCCTTAATATGTCTCATCCAATACTGACCTCTCAATGACTCACCCAATCCTGATCCCTTAATATGTCTCATCCAATACTGACCTCTCAATGACTCACCCAATCCTGATCCCTTAATATGTCTCACCCAATACTGACCTCTCAATGACTCACCCAATCCTGATCCCTTAATATGATTCACCCAATACTGACCTCTCAATATGACTCACCCAATCCTGATCCCTTAATATGATTCACCCAATACTGACCTCTCAATATGACTCACCCAATCCTGATCCCTTAATATGCCTCACCCAATCATAACTCATTAATTTCACGCAAATCCAAGTCAAGAATTACTCTATCTCAAAAATTCTTCAAGTTAACCCAAACGAGTTTTGACACATATCTTCACACACGTAACCAAAAATATATTGTATACTGTACAATATTCAACAATAGTCAATACAGGATCTTTCTTCACCCTTATGAAATACCACATACTGTACTGTACCTATGTCAAAATTAAACCCTAGTACAGTACAGTATTTGTCTTCATAAAATCAATATAATATTCTTTACTTCACCCTAATGGAATATCAGATACTGTACCAATAATAAAATTAAACCCCAGTACAGTAATACAGTAATTCATCATAAAACCAAAGTCACATTCCTCACAATTTACAAAACTGATATGCTGACACAATCTGGTAGCAGAGAGCAAATTCTCACTAACCTGAAATGAGTGGAGGCCATTTAATGTGATCATTGGCCATGAGATCTAATCACCAGGTTGCACAGTACTACCAACACACCAATATTAAAGCATACCAACTTCACCCATAACCTAGAAAGCTGATATTAATATTGAGGTTGTCAATTCTGAAACGTAATATTAAGATACTCCTTTCAGTAATACCGGTACTGTTAAATATAGGGTACTGGTCGATTGCAATTAATTATGAATAGGACTGGAATGTGTCATTACACCCATTATCAACCAGAAATAAACACAACTCATAGCTTAATTGGATGATTTTATGATGGGATTTGTAGCTCTCTGACAGCCAAGGCGTTACTTAAGCAATGTTGCAAGGGCCAAAAATAGATTTAGAAAGTGATCACCAATAACCTAACCTAACCATAACATGCTAAATAGATTTCTGCCAATCTATCTCATTATATACTATCCCCAGTCCAAATGTTGCAATCTGGTAACAGTGAGAAACCAGTGACCACAGCGCCACCAAGCAGCCAGGTCAGGACACAACGCCATCTAGTGTGGCCACAGTGCCGCCCAGCGTGGCCACAGTGACTCCCTGTTTCCCGCCTCACCTTTAAAACACAATTGGAGTTGACGAGAAGGTTCCCGGGCTTGATGTCTCGGTGAATTATCCTCGCCGAGTGGAGGTACTTCAGCCCTGCAATACACAACACTCGCTATTAATTGACCAACAGATGCGGAAATAACTAAATTATTGAGGAAATTATTTGTGATGATTCAATCTGCTACAGTTGAAACAATCAAATTATGCATTAAATATAGAATGGAGGAAAATTAGAGCGCACATAAGTTTTATTGCCAACAAACCGAATTATTGGAATATATTTTAGGTAACATACGATTTAAACTTGCCCCGCATAATTAAAAACTGACCTTGTAGATACACTCATGGAAAAATACTACACATAAAATTTTGTGCAAATTTATATTAATCGTTGCAATAATCCGTGTCTGCAGGCAAAAGACGCAGTTAATAGTTATCATACAGTAAGATATTTAAGGTTGTTAGTTTTTGTTTGTAAAGTTTTCGTTTTTAAACTATTTAAAATAATAATGATATTATTAATAATGGTAATATTTTCTGAAATGAGAGAATATATTGTATATATACTGTAGAATGACAATATCAATAAAAATCAAATACAAATATTACTCAAAATTACAAAAGGTACAGTAAAATCTACCGTAATAATAATATATACGGTTCTTATAATTGAGGCTACTAATAATAAAAAATACCAAAGAGAACTGAAAGAAAATGTCTCTCTAAACTACAAACTAAACACTAACATAAATAACCACAACAATGACTAACACCACCCAGAGCTACAAAATAATATGTCCAGTGAATGAGTGGAAGCTCACACCACTTGCCAGTCCACCCTCACAAAATATTTCCCGTGACCTAAAATAAATGTTTAATGAATGAAAGATTAAACCTGTAAGCGTTGGTCGAGTTCCTCCTTTTTTTTATCGGGATCAGTTCATATTAATAATTTGACAAATTATCTTGACTTTTTTATTAAATGTGAATGAATGTTAGTTAAGGCAGTGAGAGAAAATGGAAGGAGGGATTTGTGCAGGTGTTTGTTTTAGTAATAAATATAATAGCTAATTTTAACGAAGAATCAGCAGGAATTTCGACATCACTGTTCCTACAAAAAATTATAAGAAGAAAAAGAAGAGGATAACGATGTATAAAAGATAACGAAAAATACAAAGATATGGACGATAAGGAAGAGTACCCGATAATAATACTAACATTACTATTAAAACTACTAATACAAATACTGTAACATTCTTTCTTTCCTTTCCTGAATATAGCGAGACTCCATCCGGCTCCTAACTGGCTGGCTGCAATTAACACAGGAAGGTTCCCGCCAAATATTCCAGCTATATTTTCGCGCCAAATTTGCCCCCACTCAGCGTTGCAAACAAGACGCCTTTTACCACAAAATATTCTGGGTTGTTTTATCTATTATTTACAACACTTACTTTAATTTTATGTTATTATTATATTCATTATTATTATGCCATTTTGTGTGATATTTTTATATACCTCAAGGGCAGAAAATGCGTGGAGGTGTGAGTGAAAGGTAGAACAATAAAAACTAGCAATTTTGTACGTGGGAGATGCAGATGCCTCTAAAAGTGAGTTAAACAAAAAAAGGTTAACCTCCAAAAACTTAACCTGGGGTCAAAAAGGTCACAGTTGTAAGTCAGGGTGATCTACCTCTGATACGTTATCAAGATGTACCGGTAAGTGAAGTTTCCTGACCGTAAACGGGTAATAATTTTGTTTAAAAAGACCGATCGTTCTTTATTCCTGTATACGTTTGGGTGGTCGTACGGACAGAAAAGGGTAATGATGTAGCAGTAGTGTCAACAATATTAACAGCACCATGTACACTCTCTCAATGGCGACTAACAAAGGGGTAGTGAGTTTTAATACGACCACAGAAGGATGATGTCGATGGAAGGAAAGAGTCAATGGAGAGGGGAGCAAGGGTATGGGATGGAGTGTAATGGGGAGAACAGGTATGGGGATGTTGGGTCGTGTGGGGGTGTATTTGGGAGGCAGGTTTCACTAGGGGTGCCCCCAGATAACACCCTAGTCAGACACCACCCATATCTGCCTGCCTTCCTACACCACCACCACAACAACAACAACAACGACGACAATAAGACTTTAAAATATCCAGATTAACCTCTACATCTCACTTCCTCTTGTTTCCTATCCTCCCCTGTCCCTCTCCTCCCCCTACACTCCCTCCTGTCCCGTCTCCTCCCCATACGCCCCTTCCTCTTCCTCTCATCCTCAATATCCTCCATCCTCTCCCCACTACACTCCCTCCTCTCCTCATTATTCTTCCTCATCTTCCTCTTCTCTTGGTTATCCTCCCACCTCTCCCTCTCCTTTACCCACTATACTCACTCCTCTCCCTCTCCTCTTCACTGTCCTCTTACTCCCCTTTCCTCTTCACACTGTTCCTCTCTCTACCACAATTTTCTTCCCATCACTATTATCTAATCACCACCATTCCCGTCCCCTTAACCACCATTACTACCACCACCACCACCACCCCTCCTCTAACACCCCCCTCTAACACCCCCCTCCTCCATCACCACAACTATATCTCGTCCATTTTACTCTCTCCCTCATCACAATAACACATCCCCTCCCCCACTTACTCCCTGACTTCTACCATAACCTCCTCCCTCATCACCACCTCCCGTAACCCCCCCACCCCCACCACCAGCGGACAGACATCGATCGGAATGCAGGCCGAGTATACCGCCTGCACTATCAACCTACCTTATTGTAGGTGCGTCCGTGCATACCTGAGAGAGAGAGAGAGAGAGAGAGAGAGAGACTCACCTCTGAGTATCTGGTAGAGGAAGACCTTGACGTGGTCGGCTGACAAGTGTTGTGGGGAGACGATGATCTTGTGTAGGTCACTCTGCATCAACTCGGTGATCACGTAGCTGTAGGCACGTAGTTAAGGAACACACAAAAGATAATGACTCTAACTATGTAGGAAAGCATGTCTTACCCCGCGACGTGCAGGTGTTGGTATCAATGTCCTAACATATAGTAAACTAACCTACACCTAATCTAAAATAATCTACTTTAACTTGAATTAACCTAACCTAAACTAACCTAACCTAAGCAAGTGATATGTACTAATAAGAACACACACACACACACACACACACACACACACACACACACACACTTTACATGCTTCTCACGTGACACCTACTTTACAATCAATCATTCACGTGATATGCATATATTAACAGACAAATATCTAAATTAAAATGCACCCATAAATATGTGATACCGTGTGGCGCATAATTAATTACGTACGGCTAATAAAATGTATTCAGAGTGACAAAATTAATACACATCAGACCAAAATATTAGCTAATACTTAACCTGTGAGAAATAATAATAATAGTGAATTAATACGAATAACCCAGCTTAAATATAACAATAATGACAAATGGCTTTAAACCTCATATAGTCTCTCCTTGTCGTATGGGTGCCCAGGTGTCGCCAATTAACCAAAACAAACACAGGTGCCTCATCCAGTAAACATTAGATGTGAGCTGATCCACCAACCACAACACACCTCCCGAGGGATTAAGCGAGGAATGGTTGTCGAAGTCACTGGTAAGGTAGTTTGCTCCAGTTATCTTCTCCCTCTTTGTTACGAATGAGGAATGATATAGGAGAATGCGGCGATGAGAGAGAGAGAGAGAGAGAGAGAGAGAGAGAGAGAGAGAGAGAGAGAGAGAGAGAGAGAGAGAGTTTGAAGGTGGTAGTGAGCAAGGAGGGAGGGAGACAGAGAAGGATGAGGAAGGAGGGGGTGAGGACAACAAACCACAGGCAACCACTCGAGAGAAAAAACTCGTCTCCCCCCCCCCACACACCACGTCACTGTCTCTCACCCACCTCTCCTACCTCCACTCCTGACACCTCCTCCATCAACAACCACTACCTCTACGGTAATACCCGGAAGTGAGATAAAAGCCTGCATAAGCTATACCTGAAGGTGATATCTGAGGTAAGAGAAGCAGTCAATATCAATCAACACACTCACTCCCACAGATAGGAATGAAATGTGGCTGAGGATCTCCTTAGAGTTATATACAGCTTGTGGTCGACGGCTTTAGTTCCTCTACCCCCTTTTAAATTCCTTTACCTGGACACTTGTAAAAAAACATTAAAAATCCCATGGCATCCCCTAACACCCGACATGACACCTAGGCCTTTTCTCATGACATAATGTGACACCTTTACGACACCTATAACTATTCTATGACATAAATGACACCCTAAAAACGCATTTAACTTTTCTATGACATACTTGACACCTTAACATACCTGACACAGTTATAACCAGCATAAACTATTCCGTAACACCATTTCGATATCCGGCACACCACTATAACACAGGTGACCTAGTATCAACACCTGTGACACCATTATGACGCGCCTGACCCCCGCACATACTACAGGAGGTCAGGAGAGCGATGTGACAAAAGGATACATCTCTTGGAAGAAGTCAAGGTGAGGAGGTTGTAGGATGTCCAGCGCTGACAACACCTGCGAAGAAGAAGAAGAAGAAAACTATTAATAAAAACACTCCTTTAAAAAGCCCTAATAATAATAATAATAATAATAATAATAATAATAATAAAGGAATTCTTGGATTAATCCCCTCCAACAAGGCGTGAGAATGGAAGTGCTTCATGTTAACGATACACCGTTTCACACACACACACACACACACACACACACACACACACACACACACACACACACACACACACACACACACACACACACACACACACACACACACACACACACACACACACACACACACACACACACACACACACACACACACACACACACACACACACACACACACACACACACACACACACACACACACACACACACACACACACACACACACACACACACACACACACACACACACACACACACACACACACACACACACACACACACACACACACACACACACACACACACACACACACACACACACACACACACACACACACACACACACACACACACACACACACACACACACACACACACACACACACACACACACACACACACACACACACACACACACACACACACACACACACACACACACACACACACACACACACACACACACACACACACACACACACACACACACACACACACACACACACACACACACACACACACACACACACACACACACACACACACACACACACACACACACACACACACACACACACACACACACACACACACACACACACACACACACACACACACACACACACACACACACACACACACACACACACACACACACACACTCTCCAACACACACACACACACACACACACACACACACACACACACACCTCAACCTCCCCCAGTAGCTGCTGACATTTACTCCCCTACTCCCTTCTCCTCCCCTCCCCCCTGACAAAGGAAAGAGTACTGCCACCCCTCACTAGTAAATGTCACTCTCTTACTCCAGCGTGACTCTACAGTGACTCTCCGCTGACTCTACGTGACCAGGTATAACACATGCTCCCCCTCAAAACTGTATCTTTACGATTTTGTGTTTGACAATATGACACAATGGACGAAGGATTTTGAAGTAGCAATATGGATTAAAATATGGCTTAATAATATAGTATAAAATGTCTTTCAGTGGGAGAGATAATAATATGGCTTTACATGACTATAATATGGCCTTCTATGGTTCTAATAATAATATCGGTTTATAATATATAACAATGTGTTAATATAATATGGTGTTTAAATATAGCTTGTATAAAATATCTTTCAATAGGCGACATACTAATATAGGTTAACAATATGGCTTTATATTATGTCATAAAGTATCCTTCTGAAAGGTACTTGTAAATGCCCTTCCCTTTATCACATCAAGAGTACAATATGTCGTCCTCAAAGGGTTAAAACTTAAGCCATCGTCCTCAAAGGGTTAAAACGTAAACTATCGTCCTCAATGGGTAATAACTTAAACCTCGTCCTCAAAGGGTTAAAACTTAAACCATCGTCCTCAAAGGGTTATTACATACTTCTATACTGGGCCATAATGTCATACGGGTGTAAAAGGGGGAAAGATTTTGGGTTCAGTTAAAGACGGGACAATAAAAGTGCATCTATCGCATTGGGAGAAAATATCACATATCAAACTCGAGCATTAGCAAGGATGTGAAAGCCAGCCAGATGGTGTTGAGGGAACCAGCTGTGTGTGGAGGATACCAGCTGTGTGTGGAGGATACCAGCTGTGTGGGGGATACCAGCTGTGTGTGGAGGATACCAACTGTGTGTGGAGGATACCAGCTGTGTGTGGAGGATACCAGCTGTGTGTGGAGGATACCAGCTGTGTGTAGGATACCAGATACCAGCTGGTGTGTGGAGGATACAGCAGCCAGCTGTGTGTAGGGATACCAGCTGTGTGTGGAGGAGATACCAGCTCCAGCTGTGAGTGGAGGATACCAGCTGTGTGTGGAGGATACCAGCTGTGTGTACCAGCTGTGTGTAGGGATACCAGCTGTGTGTAGGGATACCAGCTGTGTGTGGGATACCAGCTGTGTGTAGGGATACCAGCTGTGTGTAGGGATACCAGCTGTGTGTAAGGATACCAGCTGTGTGTGGGATACCAACTGTGTGTGTGTGTGTGTATGTGTCTAACGGCACCATCTGGAGGTCAGTGCCAGGTGGAGAACAACAGGTGGTTACAGGTGGTCTCCTTTAACCTGAGTGGCGGGGTACAACCTACACGTCTTCTTCCCTGAACTGCACGACACACACACACACACACACACACGACGAGATCTGAGGGAGAAAGGTGTACACACTACCATCCAGTCTACGACTAGTGAGGGCCGAATTCACCACCACAACGGGAACTACGACCACTACACGACCCTGATCTCGAATTCTTAGCAGGTCATATGATAAAATGTTTCACTTTCGTCGAACACAAAACTGAGACAAAATTGGTAGATAAAACTGACAGATAAAACTAATTGACAAAATTGGCAGACTAAACTGAGGCGAATAGCCGGATTTACCTAATGCGAAATTTATGTAATAATTACGTCGCGGCATTTGAGATACGCTCATTATATATCGGTGCTTGAGATCCGTTCATCACGCAGTACAGTGTTTGCGATTCATTTTTGCCTGCGAAACTAACCCAACCCTTGAAAAAAAAAGTCGTACTGTAAATCTTTCGTAACAAAATATCTTCTCTATATTCCCAGATAAGTGTAAACAGAATTTTTATCGTTCGTATCTCTGAGGCTGAGGACCTGGGTGGTCGGGGTGTGAGGCGTGACTACCCAAAAGCTTCCATGACGGCGACTCGATATACTAAAGAATTGTGAACGGGATTCTCTCAAGTCGGCGAGGGGGTCACGTAAGGCGAATTTCTTTACTAATCTGTACCTTGTCCTTTAGAAACGATGGTGGTGGTGGTCGTTGTTGTTGTTATTATTAATATTACTACGAGTATTACCTCATATTTTAGTTATTAATATCATTTTAGTCCAAATAATAATAATAATAATAATAATAATAATAATAAAAATAATAATAATAATAATAATAATAACACAATTCTGGTCCTTTAATTAACTCTCCTCTCCCCTGAGTCATACCTGTCCAATACCACCACCAGGTAACTTAATCACCAGGTACTTTAACCCCTTTAATGCGCACGCTGGCCTATACCATCTGCATTAGTCCACCTATGTCAATATTACAGTGTTTTATCCACGTCAACCTAACACTGCCCCCTCCCCACCCACCACGTAAATATTGCACCGGTTCCCCATATTCGTGACCCCAGCAACGCCAACCCACACCAAAACACTAAATTATTTAACGCCACCTGGTATTTTCTGATCGCCACTTACCTAGTTATTAGCATAGGACTATTTAACCCCTTCTCGGTCAGCCACTACCCCCTCCATGCTCCTGCCTACCACTTCTATAATCATATGTTACTTCTCCCCCCCACCCCCCTCTGCCACTAAACCTATTTGTCCCATGCCTTCACTACCACAATCTCAAGCACACTACACCACATTACCACAACATGCTAACACATCCACCACTCTTTCCCTACAACAACAATCACCACCACACTCCCTAAACAATAACAACCACCACCACCACCACCACACTCCCTTAACAACAACCACCACCACCACCACCACACTAACAACAACTACCACCACCACAACAACTACCACCACCACATAACAACAACAACTACCACCTCACCACACCCCCCAACAACAACCATCACCACACTAACAACAACTCCACCACCACCACACACCCCCCTCCTCACCACCTCCCACTCTACAACACCACTAGAGTGTCGGCCACCACCACTACCACCACCACCACCAGCGTATGTAAACAACACAGGCTGAGCGATGCGGACGTGAAGGTAGCGCGCCACCACCACCACTACCACCGCACTTAAAGGGACGCTCTCTACCACGCCACCGACTGTACGATACTCTACCATCGTCCCGCCACGCCCTCCAGTCTTCATTCATCTGTAAATGCCACTTCTTTCACCAGTAAACAAGGCTATAATCACTTCTTTCACCAGTAAACGAGGCTATAATCACTTCTTTCACCAGTAAACAAGGCTATAATCACTTCTTTCACCAGTAAACGAGGCTATAATCACTTCTTTCACCAGTAAACGAGGCTATAATCACTTCTTTCACCAGTAAACGAGGCTATAATCACTTCTTTCACCAGTAAACGAGACTATAATCACTTCTTTCACCAGTAAACAAGGCTATAATCACTTCTTTCACCAGTAAACGAGACTATAATCACTTCTTTCACCAGTAAACACACCTACAATCACCATTTCCTTCACCAATAAACTAAATCAACACTTCTTTCACGAGTAAACTTATCTTAAGATCACTATAACCAAGATTTACTTCATTCAAGACGTTTATCAACCTCAAACACCTACCCTGATCGCAAGGAACTAGTCAAGAGCCAAGGGTTATTCCCCAAGGTGGTAATACGGTTGCTGGTTCCCCTTCAATATTATAAGAAAGCACCTCTAGGCACGTAACCCCTCATATCACCTGAAGAATCTCCACCCCCAGTTTATTTTACGTGAAGATTAACCACCCTAACGCTAATCTAATCTAATCTATCCTAACCTAACCCTAAACAAACCAAACCTAGCGCTAACCTAACCTAACCTCGTCCAACCTCTAAATAGCGTTAGGGTGGTTAATCTTTAGGTGAAAATAATAAGCTGGGGTTGAGATTCTTCAGGCGTTCCAAACACTCTCGTCGGTATCGTCAATAAGACACGAAGGATGGATGTGGATTTGGGGGGGAAATTGGTTGATAAAATAATCACAGTTTGTTTTTCACTATAATTTATAAGTGAATAATCATACACCATTTGCTTTTCACTGTAACATAAAATAATAATTATACAGCATTTGTTCTTTTTCACTAGAACTGATAAATAAATAATAAGTGTTTGTTTTCCTACACTGTTTTGTTTCGGTGTATAAATGAATGAAAAGATGAACCCAGGTGATAAAAGTTGTTGAGTCGAGAAGTGTATTTATTAGTCTACGTTGTGAAGATAATGTCAAGAGATGTTACTTGTGTATGATTATATCGGTTCAGACGTCAACACCGTAGGGACCATTGAGACGTGTGGGTAATGCTGTGGCCTTTCCCCATCTCCTATTTTTCTTCTTCTCCTTCCCCCATCTCCTCCCTCTAGCTACCCCCCCATCAAATGTGACAAAATGTACAGGGAGGAGATTAAACAGGTGGTCATGTCACATAAAAAACGTTTATCATTAGACTACGCTCCCTTCCTTTAAATCACCTCTTAAAAAATATCTTTTGTCAAAGTATAAATATTTCTTGTAACACTTACTATATTTACAGTACCTGCTTTTATTGTACCATCAAAACCGTTTTATCGGAAATTATCATGTAAATAGATAAGTAATTACCATTGCAATAAACATATTTGCCAACTAGACATAATCTTGACAGCTCTGTCCTCTTGTTCAACCTTATTACTGTACAACCCAGGTTGTACTGCTCCCCCATTACACTTATGTTTTTCAATTCCACTGGAATTTATGTATATATAATAAAAAAATATATTAATAAATATTGAAGTGATAACCGTGGTAACATTAGGAGATGTTCTTATTACCACCATGCTATTGTACTATTCCAGATGTTACTAAATATATTATTATCCACTCTGTATCTGTGTTTTTTCTGGCTAAATAAACTGTTTCAATTCAATTCAATTATAGCAGTGGTAGTATTAGTAACAAGCCGGCAACAGTTGCAGATAATATTGACTATGAGGCTACAGTCACTGAATGCCGCATCAGATCTGCAGCTCAACTAACTCAACACAGCCAGGATAATACTTATGTATTAGGTTATTTTAATAAGGTAACAAATGGTGGCGAAGGAATGGCTAATAGGGAAGGCTGGAGAGCCGTATATACTAAAAAAGTAGTAGTAATAGTAGTGCAGCAAAGTAGTTAGCAATAGAAAGTAGTGGGAATATTAAAACCAGTCGTAGTAAATGGGAATTGTAATATTACTGTCATTATTAGTATCTATCCCAACAAGTAACAACAGCAAAAGCCAGCAACAAGAAAACAGGTTGGTGTTGCCCATCCCGTGTTTGAAGGAGGAAAGTAACATCAGAAATCCTAAGGAACAAAGAATAAAAAAGACAAAGAGGCAGTGATACTTTCTCTTGTTTGAAGGCGGTAAGTAACAGCAAAAACCCTCAGGAACAAGAATTAGAAGTCAGAAGGTGGTGCTCCTTTTTTCGTGTTTGAAGGAGGAAAAGTAACAACATATACCTAAAAGCACAAGAGGTGATGCTACTTACATTCTCGTGTTTGAAGAAGCACAACATACGGAGTTCCCGGAAGACACGCTTGCTGGACACGAGCGTCTGGAACACGTTGGGCATTTTCTTGAGAGCTACTCGCCGGCCATCCCGTGGGTCTGTCACCGCCCTGGAGAAGAGAGGGATAAAAAAAGAAGTCTTATTATAACTTCCTGTCAGATCCAAAAACGTTAATAATTATTCTAAATACACCGACAGACATAGACAGACATAGACAGAACAATGACACCCTATTACTCCCCCCCCCTCCCTCCCTCTTGGTGTGGTAGTGGTGGTTGTGGTGAAGGCCAAGGGAGAAGGACGCCAACCAACATCATGACTACTACCATATAATGTAGGAGCATTTTAAATAAATGATAATATTAGTATAAACTTCAACTGTTACTACTGTATTAACCTACCCCACCACGGCTATTGTGCTCTCATTATCTCCTAGTGTGTGTGTGTGTGTGTGTGTGTGTGTGTGTGTGTGCCGAGACGATGGGACTGATGATAACACACTACGGTACTTATAAATACTCTGTCTGTCTGTCTCTCTCTCTCGTATAACATTTAGAAAAACAATTATAAAAAACTTTATCGAAAAAATACACAAAACAAACACGCGAACGATCTTGTCTCAGAACACCGTACCGCGTTAAAACAAACACACAAACCTTAATCAAGTAAAGAAACAAACACAACAAATCAAATAATCAAACCTAAACAAACACTATCTCTCTCTCTCTGTAATGGACGACTATATTTACGGTGCAAGACGCTCGCCACTACCCCACTCAGCTGATGATGACCTCTGACCCCTGATGGCTGCACTCAATGGATCACTCACTCACTCCTGACCATCCACTCAACATGAGGTGGCCTTTGATCTCCCCCTAATACTCACGGCTGCACACAATTGCAAGGGGCATTTAGACCATGGAATAAAGGGGTGCCCAATAAACTAGCCTCCCGCCTGTATTTTGGGGGCGAATCTAAATCTAAGATCATTACTCTTGTCTCCTAATTTTGGTTAACACTAGGTAACCTTTGACCTCTACTACTGAAGGTTGTACTCAAGGGGCAAATCTGAAATCTAAATGAGTCTCTCCTCTTGACCATCCACTCATCTGGTGACCTGTGACTGTAACTGGAGGTCATGCTCGTGATCTTCCACTCAGGTGGTGACCTGTGACCTAGCAGGGAGGGTCTGGAGACTGGTTATGGAACAGCTGGAGACGAGCCAAGTGAGAATATAGGGCGGAGACCCACATAGGAGGAACGCCGTCTGAGGCACCCTGACTTGACTCTCTGGTCCTAATTTCTATAATGGCCGTCGAGTTTCTGGTTCAAATTCTCAAGGAGTCGTAAGGTTTCGATGGGTCGTAACTTTCTGGTTCAAAATTTTAAAAGGTCGTAAGTTTTTTGTCCTAATTCTCAAAGGGTCGTAACATTTTTGGTTCTAATTCTTAAAAGGTCGTAACTTCGGGGTTCAATTCTTAAAAGGGTCGTAGAGTTTTTGGTCCTAATTCCCTAAGAGTCATATGGTACAAATTTCCTCTTAACCGGATACTTGAGAACTGGAAACGAACCACACTATTACCACCATCTTCACAACCACCAGCAACATCAATCACACTATAACCACCATCACCACCACCAACAACTAGCATTATAACCACCACTATCACCACCACCATCAACAACCACACTAGGAAAACACCATCACCACCACTACAGTACATGACCCCTACCATGGGTTAATAAAAAATTATCTCTCTCTCTCTCCCAGTAAATAAATGTACCTTCTCCGATGTCACGTTCCTCGGCTGCTGATCAAACGCCTAACACTTCAAAAAAATCTAAAACAACTTTTCAGGCTACATTTAATAACTTCCTACGTTAAAAAGCACATCTAAATCCCTAATAAGATTTTCTAGTTACATTTAATACTTTTCTACTTATAAAAATAATCTTAAATATGTATAATAAAAAACCCTAATTACATTTTATGCTTTTCTTCTTAAAATAATCACTTACATAGCTTAAATATAATTCTAGATACATTTAATACTTTTCTACTTACAATAAAAATATGTACCCTTATATTTATTATTTTTCTACATAAAAATCATTTATATAACTCACAAAAATGTAATTACTGAAAAGTACAACATTTTATTATCATTATTAGAATTCATAAAGAAAATGTAACTTCACACACACACACATACATACATACATACAGGTACACACAAAATTCGTGACCTTAAAAATACATATAATTTGATACTACCGGTCCAACTGTCTCCACCCAGACCTATAATTACCTCCAACAGAGTAACAGTACCTCAGTGACCTCTATAACAGTAACTCAATAACCTCCATTGATCCCCCCAATGAGGACAGGAACCCTATGAAGTCTTAAAACACAAACACACACACACACACACACACCAAGCAGTCACGTACCCCGAATGATATTTTTTTTTTTGGGGGGTGAGATATTTTTCCTGTGGGGATGAAGGGGGGGGGGATGCCATGGTCTGGTGATATGCTTCGTCAGGTGGTTCCTCTGATTTCGCTGTTCACCTGGACGTGTGTGTGTGTTTCTCACCTTGACCACCTTCCAACCACCGTCACTCAGGTACTCGCTAGCGGCAGTACGAGCAATCAATCACCAGTGCCAGACTAACGTTCACCCGCCAGCAATAAGCAGCAAATTTGAGGTGCGCAAGTGACAGGAATTTACAGTAATGGGAACTGGATGATCGTACGTAGCCAGGTAGGCCAGGTAGGTGTGTGTGTGTGGGTGTGGGTGTGTGTGTAGTCTTAATATCACTATTCAGTCTCGGCTCTTCCTCGCCTACACTGTTGTTGTTGTCGTTCTTGCAAACCTGAACCCCCACATCAGGGAGTTAGTTAATGACGTTGTGAACCACTCAACCGGCAGACGAGCCAGTAAGTGAACCCATAGCAAAGAAAACTACTATATGAACCTGAGGATGAACCCCCTCCCCTCCCCCACCAAAGAACCAACAGATAAACCCCTAGGAATACGGAAAACGAACCCAAGTGAATCAGCAAGACGAACCCAAGTGAATTAGCAAGACGAACCCCAGTGAATTAGCAAGACGAACCCCAGAGAATCAACAAGACGAACCCCAGAGAATCCACAAGACGAACCCAAGTGAATTAGCAAGACGAACCCCAGAGAATCCACAAGACGAACCCAAGTGAATTAGCAAGACGAACCCCAGTAAACCAACAAGACGAACCCAAGTGATTCAACAAGACGAACCTAAGCGAATCACCACCGAGACGAACCTAAGCGAACCGGTAAGTGAACCGTGAAGGACAACAACCTAAGGTACTGGCTGAGTGTCCCTGGGCGAGGCGGCGTAGCCTAAGGGGGTCAGGGCTAAGGGGGGAGGGAGAGGGTAGAGGAGAGGGGAGGAAGAGGGGAAGGGAGTAGGGTACGTTGGGTCTAGAGAAGGCACACCCTTTGTTGTCTGGCACGGCTTCCACCCCCCCTCTCTCTCTCTCTCTCCCCTACTCATCTAACCCCCCCTTTCCCCCCTCCCCCATCCTCCCTTCGTCCCTATAGCTATCCTCACTAACCCCTCCTCTTCCTTCCCTCCTTCGTCCCTATAAGCTATCCTCACTAACCCTCCTCTTCCCTCCCCCTCCTTCGTCCCTATGGCTATCCCTCACTACCCTCCTCCTCCTTTAACCCCTTCCTCCTCCCTCCCCCTATACAATCACCCCTCGATGACTGCAATGATAACCCCCTCAATTACAATCTTAACTTTACAACCACAATCATAACACTTTACGTCAGGTTAGGTTAAGTTAGGTTATGATAGGATAAGTTAGGTTATGTTAGGTGAAGGTAATTTTGGTCATAATAGGATAGGTTAGGTTAGGTTATGTTATATAAGGCTAGGTTAGATTAGTTGAGGTTATGTTAGGTTAGGTTAGACTAATTTACCATAGGATAGGATAGGTTAGATTCGGTTCGGTTAGGTTATGTTAGGTTAGACTAATTTACCATAGGATAGGTTAGGTTATGTTAGGCTAGGTTAGACTAATTTACTATAGGATAGGTTAGGTTAGGTTAGGCTAGGTTAGACTAATTTACTATAGGATAGGTTAGGTTAGGTTAGGCTAGGTTAGACTAATTTACTATAGGATAGGTTAGGCTAGGTTAGACTAATTTACTATAGGATAGGATAGAATAGGTTAGGTTATGTTAGGCTAGGTTAGACTAATTTAGGATAGGATAGGTTAGGTTAGACTAATTTACTATAGGATAGGATAGGATAGGTTAGGGCCTGTGAGGACTGAAGGCCCATTTATCCTAGGACCTCACATACATTCAGCCACCTTCACTCTCACCTCTGGAGTACTACGTGCGATAACACTCTCGCCACTCTCCCTCTCCCTGTCTGTCTGTCTACCTGCCTGTCTGTCTTTCTTATTTGACAGCACTATTTTTTATTTCCCTCTCTAGGTGGGTGTGTGTGTGTTTTACCTGTACGTTATACGAGACGATTCACTTTCATTTCAACCACACACACACACACACACACACACACACACACACACACACACACACACACACACACACACACACACACACACACACACACACACACACACACAGCCCATGAGCATGGATGGCCACAGGAAGAGCCAAAGAGGGCCATGTGTTCCAGCATATATCCTTATACGTATATATCCTAGGACGTGATAGACATATATGCTCGCAGGTATACCGGTATTCAAACATATACTCTTATAACGAAGTATATCTGACATGACACGGGTTTATATCAGGTTAAATTCTATGGGTATATTCAACGCATACGCTTATAGGTATATCGGTGATGTATTTATAGAAATAATCAAACTTAGAGGAATATATATATATATATATATATATATATATATATATATATATATATATATATATATATATATATATATATATATATATATATATATATATATATATATATATGCAAGTAAATCACTGTGGGTGCACGTAATCCAGGTATATGCTGATAACCACAAGGAAAGAAGAAAACACGAAGTTCCCAAGCGCTTTCGTGTAATTCACATCTTCAGGGGTGAGTACAGACTATGG